CTTTGATTAAAATACTCCGGCTATTGACTACTCAGGTGCTACGTTTTTTTTTTTAATTCATTTTTTTATTATATACACTACCCTTTATTTTAGCTGTAAATATCTACCATAGTTCATAAACTCACATTTGTTAAAATAATTAAGATGCTTAAGTGTACAACTGAATTATCTATTCTATAATAATCAGTAGTTCTTTTATATTTTTGCAAATTTTAGAATAATTGCAGAATCTTATTCCTAAGTCTAGTTGTAGATTCAGTACAAATCTTATAATATTTTACTCAGAAAATCTAGTTTGTAGAGTCACTCTCATCTTATGACTACAGGCATAGATCCTGATGTAAACTTCTTACTAAATGAATTAAACGAATCAAACAACAACTGTAATTAGTATACAGCAAACATTATGATGACCTCACAGCATTACTCAATTCCCTTCATTCCAATATATTAATCATAACACTCACAGAAACCTGGCATAAGCCTGATATTACAGATGTCTATACCATTCCTGGCTACATGGCCATGCACAACTGTAGAACAGACCAAGGGGGAGGAACAGCAATTTTTTTTTTTTTATTAACACACTGGCCGATTCCAACCAAGGCAGGGTGGCCCGAAAAAAGAAAAACTTTCACCATCATTCACTCCATCACTGTCTTGCCAGAAGGGTGCTTCTTTACACTACAGTTTTTAAACTGCAACATTAACACCCCTCCTTCAGAGTGCAGGCACTGTACTTCCCATCTAAAGGACTCAAATCCGGCCTGCTGGTTTCCCTGAATCCCTAATAAATGTTACTTTGCTCACACTCCAACAGCACGTCAAGTATTAAAAACCATTTGTCTCAATTCACTCCTATCAAACACGCTCACGCATGCCTGCTGGAAGTCCAAGCCCCTCGCACACAAAACCCCCTTTACGCCCTCCCTCCAACCTTTCCTAGGCCAACCCCTACCTCGCCTTCCTTCCACTACAGACTGATACACTCTTGAAGTCATTCTGTTTCGCTCCATTCTCTCTACATGTCCGAACCACCTCAACAACCCTTCCTCAGCCCTCTGGACAACAGTTTTGCTAATCCCACACCTCCTAACTTCCAAACTACGAATTCTCTGCATTATATTCACACCACACATTGCCCTCAGACATGACATCTCCACTGCCTCCAGCCTTCTCCTCACTGCAGCATTCATCACCCATGCTTCACACCCATATAAAGCGTTGGTAAAACTATACCTCATACATTCCCCTCTTTGCCTCCAAGGACAAAGTTCGTTGTCTCGACAGACCCTAAGTGCACCGCTCAACCCTTTTCCCCTCATCAATTCTATGATTCACCTCATCTTTCATAGACCCATCCGCTGACACGTCCACTCCCAAATATCTGAATACATTCACCCCCCTCCATACTCTCTCCCTCCAATCTGATATCCAATCTTTCATCACCTATCTTTTTGTTATCCTCATAACCTTACTCTTTCCTGTATTCACTTTTAATTTTCTTCTTTTGCATACCCCACCAAATTCATCCACCAACCTCTGCAACTTCTCTTCAGAATCTCCCAAGAGCACAGTGTCATCAGCAAAGAGCAGCTGTGACAACTCCCACTTTGTGTGATTCTTTATCTTTTAACTCCACGCCTCTTGCCAAGACCCTCGCATTTACTTCTCTTACAACCCCATCTATAAATATATTAAACAACCACGGTGACATCACACATCCTTGTCTAAGGCCTACTTTTACTGGGAAATAATCTCCCTCTTTCCTAGATACTCTAACTTGAGCCTCACTCTTTTTTTTTTTTTTTTTTTTTTCAACAAGTCAGCTGTGTCCCACCTATAGGCAGGGTGACCCAAAAAGAAAGAAAAAATCCCCAAAACTAAAATACTTTTATCATCAGTCAACACTTTCACCTCACTCATACATTATCACTATCCTCGTAAAAGCTCTTTACTGCTTTCAGTGACCTAACTCCTACACCATACACCTGCAACATCTGCCACTTTGCCCCCCTATCCACCCTGTCATAAGCCTTTTCCAAATCCATAAATGCCACAAAAACCTCTTTAGCCTTATCTAAATACTGTTCACTTACATGTTTCACTGTAAACACCTGGTCCACACACCCCCTACCTTTCCTAAAGCCTCCTTGTTCATCTGCTATCCTATTCTTCATCTTACTCTTAATTCTTTCAATAATAACTCTACCATACACTTTACCAGGTATACTCAACAGACTTATCCCCCCATAATTTTTGCACTCTCTTTTGTCCCCTTTGCCTTTATACAAAGGAACTATGCATACTCTCTGCCAATCCCAATATACTACTCAAATCAACTCGAATGTATCAAAAAATCTTGCACAAGGTATGAACATGGAGAATATATCATAGCCAAATTTAAATCAAAAGACCTGAAAAAGCCCCCCCCAGTTAAAACATCTACAAAAACCAAGTCAAACATTTACCATTTAGTGAAAAACTAGAAAACATGATTATTTGAGCACACATAAATAAAGCCCCTTGTACAAAGGTGATTTCAACATAAACTACTATACGACCGGGACCCACAAGTGACCGAATTCACAAACACTATACAAC